GGGATATAAAGACAAGAAGGTAAGTAGAGGCTTGGATATGAAGACAAGAAGGTAAGTGAAGATATTGCCTTAGAAAGACTAAAATATACTTATTCGTAGGTAACATATGTTTCTTGTTGTATGAAAAGGTTTCGACAGAGTGTTAGTAGAAATACGCATTGATGAATGATAAATATTCGACTTGATACTTTATGTCATTTTTTGGGTTATGATCACAAACTTCACCACTGTCAACTGAATTATCATATTTCACTGCTTTTATTTCTACTTTTAAAGGCGATAGAATTACTTAAAATAAAAGTTATAATCTTATGAAGTAACATCAATGATTTATCCAGCTGAGCTTCAGAAATATGAGCCTTCTGGTGGCTTTGTATTTTCCATTTGCTTTCTTGGGGTTACAACTTAACACTTGTCACAATAAATTGCATTGTGAAAGCGAGACATACTGTTCTTGAAATGCGCAACTTACACATTTTTATTAAACGTACAGGTCAGGGAAAGGCCTAGAGAATAGTGTGTCTTGGCTGTGAATCCAGTGATTCGTGGTTCGCGTGCCTTTACCACAAAAACCATATTGAGGTTATAGGCGCGTTATAAGAGTAAAGGTCATATCCCATTATTCTGTCAAACAATAGTAACCGAATAGTTAACGGTTGATGCTGTTGACCGGATGTTAACACTTTATTTCTTCACTTCAGAATTAGGAAAGGCATGAGCAAACAGCTCTGCGCAAATATTCCAAAACAAAGAATTAAACGTACATCAAAAAGAAATTTTAACAAGCACCGTACAGTTTAGTTCGGATAGCGATATACGTCAGGGGAACGTGTTAGTTATGATGACGAATTGGAATTACAGATACAATAGAAGATCTTTACATGATATGGTTCTTTTAAGGAAGAACATAGGTATTTAGTACCTGTCACCCTTTAAATTACACTTGGCCACCCTTTCCGCTCTGTAACTCTTGTAATTCTAACGGTTGAATCACTCGATTTTTGCCGTGCAAAGTTTAATATTTTTCAACTGGATAACTTGAGGAATATTTCGTTACTTCGAAGACTATAACGAATCCTGCCCAGTAGTGAGTGGTAGATCTTACGTAAAACTATTACGTAGTGAATAGTGACGATACCAAAGTTTGACAGCTGTGAATGTCCTTTAGTATATTTTAAATCTAGGTCGTGACCTGGTGGCATGTTTAGTAAACACTGTGACATAACAATGAGTTCACAGATAGGAAAAGCTGAAGCTCGAAATATTAGTTCAT